AATTTAGTTTTCATTATATATAGTGGTATAGCAGGACGCGTAGAGAAGTGATTGAAGTCCGACTGTGACAACACCAGAGAAATTTCTAGCATTTAGCAAGTGCAATCTTACTTGAGGCAAATTGTTTCTAATTTATTTTTCTTTCGTCGTTTGATGTTTGATTATCGTTTACATCTTTTTATTTCAAAATATTTTATTTTTGATATTTACATTGTACTTTATGTAGCAAGTTCTTGCTGGTGGCGATTTATAAAATTTAATGTGTTTAATTGTTTACCTAACAATGCAAGTTGTGGAGACCATGTTAAAAGTAACTTAAATTTCAAATAAGATGCTAAACATGTTCTAATTAATATTCTTTTTCAAAATGGCAAAATATTTTAATAAAGTTAACAAACGGAAAAACAATATTGTTTCCAAAATTTTATGGTCGATTCTCAAAAGAGTTAGCTTAGAATGATTTTTTTTTCAAAGCACATGAATTTTGAACGTTACTTAACGGTTTTAACCGTTTAACAATAATGTTGTGCATTCACATTTAGATTTAAATAGAATATACAAAATATACAAAAAAACATATTTCATACAAGTATTTTGGATGCATTGTTCTCAGAAAATTAAAGGCACATCATGCCTTGGAAATAGTCTGAGAAAGGTCAAACACATGATGACCAATGTTTTCATAGTTAATTGAAGTTTGCTAAATGTCAAACAGCTGTTAAAGCTACGTTGGCTTTTCATATAATGGCACTGACGTTTCATATTTAAGGTTCTATCATAACCGCCGCAGGAACAAATCTGCAGATCTTTCTTTCAAAATTCTAAAAATTACAACAACTCACTACTGCTTAATCCGGTGCTTGGGGACAGAGGCGGTAAATTGATATTTTCAGTACCACCTATAAACAGACTCAATCATACCGAGTCTGCAATTTTCATTTTTGCGGTTTTGACGTTCTTTATGAAGTTAAATTTCTCTCTATTTTAGACAATTAGTCCACGATGGTATAAGAAGCAAAGAAATTAATGCAATACAAGTTCGTGACGAATTGAATAATAAGTCAAAAAAGTAAATAAATAAACACTTATTGGGCAAGAGAACTGCTAAAATAGCTTTATGCAGATCTTCTTAATAGTTTTAGTTATTGAAAAGCTTATCATAACGTTAAAAAACGTATTATGCTTTTGTTTGTACATTTCAGCTGTATTTCAAATAATGAATAATAATGATAGGCATCAGGAAATCATAACAAATCATCAAAATTTGAGTTGATTTTTGAACTTCACAGAAGACTTTAAACCAGCCGGAACGGACATTTACGAATATTTCATTTGGTCTAAGCTGCTGCATCACCGTCCTGAATGTTTCTACAATGTGCTTACTGTTAAGGCATAGAGACTGTATTGGTGGAAACGGGTTCTTACACAACAACCTGTTTTCTTATGTTCTACAGACATTCTCTCTGGAGTAGCATTAGCTCTACCTCATTTTGGCCAGCTTTTCACTACATTTCATACTGATATATATTATGCCTTCTGTACCATTGGTCTTATTCTACTTCAGTTATGAGTTACAATGTCACTCGGAAATTGCTTTATGATCAGCATACACATGTACATGATTATGAAATATCTAGACAACCCGGATACTATGTGGTACAAACATGTTACATTTTTCATGATTATTGGCTACATTTTAATTTGCGTTAAAACTGTTTGCTCGTCAGTGCTTGTCATCACATTTTACTTTGGTTTCCAACCCGTGGAATTCTGCGAAAAACTGAACAACACTGGAATAAATGAGTACAAATTTAAATTTATAATCGATGGTGTGATCATGTTTAGTCGGTACGAATATCTCCACCGGTTTATGCAATCAAAAATTAAACAGAATGAATCAGTCTGGAATGACACCCTCATCTTAAGCAAACAGATATGCAACCATAACTTTCATTCTTATTGTTTTTGTACTCAATCTTACAACAGTTCCTGGTATGCTCTTTTGGCTTGCGACAGTAAATATGTCACTTAATATTTCAGCCGAGGCAACATAAACAATAATCGATTTATTTCAATAAATTCTTTATGTAATCCGTGCATCTATTGTTTAAGGTCGACTCAATTCCGCTCTGCCGTCCGTCTGTAAAGATGTTAAAGAAATACACAATGAAGAAAGAAAGAAATTAAATGATTAGATTAATAACCGACAGCTTTGTGTTCTTGCAGTTCGGTAAAATAGATGATTTATTAATGAGTTCGTTAACATGATTTGGCTTTAAATGCTTTACATGTTTATAATATCACAACAACAGTAAAATACCTGAAAAAGGCCAAATCCTTTATAGTTTTACGGTCAGCTCAAATACAAATTTCATTATTACAATATTAAGCAGTTGTTCTTGAATGTATTTCAATTTTCATTAAATATGTTTTCGTGTAATATGTTTGATCACTGAAAATTCAGAAAGAGCAATACTTCTATAGGTCTATGAATTTAATAAGTAATATGATCAATGCAAATTTTTAAAGATGCAATATTTTACCAACATGATATATATCATTAATACATGAATGATTTCAAATGCTATGTTTTCAACATAACTGACTTAGTTGTTCGTTTTTTTTTTTTTTCGTTTTTTTTTTTGTTTTCTTTTTTTGGTGATGGTTTTTTTATTATTTTTTTATTTTATTCTTTATTTATTTTTGGAATCTTCAAAATTATTGGTTACTTAAGTCACAGGAATAAACAAAATTGTTGTCAGAAGTCTGTATTATGCTTTAAAACTCTGATTTGTTGTACTTATTTATGCCGTTGAATTTAGAGATGAATGTCAGTTTTCGAAATAAATCGAATTATATTCAGCGTAATAATAGCGCCTATATCATTTCTCATTTTTTCTAATCTTTTTGTGTGTGTTTTGTTCTTGTTTTTGTTATTCTGCTTTTGTCAAATAAAACATTTATTAGAGAACTGCTTGCAGTTGTTTTTCGCAAACGACTTTCAATTAGTTAACCTAAAAGTCGTGTTTTATACCCCAACCATCCTCCGCCCTTAGAAGCGGTGCCAATTTTGATATTGTTATTACTCTGTAGAAAACAGCAAACCACGTGATTTTTTTAACAGTATGTTTGACAACCATAAACATCTGACATCCCGAAGGACATATACAGCGTGATGTTAGGATTTTTTCAACAAACTGATAGCATCATGGTAACTAACAATATATTTCATAGGTTTATTATGATTGTATTGTAAAGGTTAGTACCAAATTGTTAACAATATGTACAAAAACAAAGAGATATTTTCACAAACAGGACGAAAAACAGGAAAATCTCCCATCAACATATAGGTTTATATATTTTAAAGCAGTTGTGTTGCGTATTTCTCTACAAATGATTACAAACTAATTTTAATGAGCATTCTTAAATATTATTGTCTCATTAACTCAGTCTGAACACCTCGACGACTATTCATAGTCATCCGAAGATATACGGAATGAGCCGGAAAAATGCAAATGGGTAACGACGCTGACAATGTCTTCAGAACTTATACTCCTATTGATACTGATATCTGCACAAAATATTTTCGAAATTTAGATAACGTTCATAGCATTCATTTTGTAAAAGCTTTAAGATCTGACACGAAACCTTTAAATTGTCCTCAAAAACAAACCTTCGCACAAGGAGTAAAGCATTCACACTTTTGTCTTATTCTTGTAAAGTGGTCGTAAGTGGAAGTTTAATTAATGTTGTGGCTAGCTTTTGCAATGTTGACCATAAAAACGGGTCTTGCTACCGAAAGCAAAAACATTGAGAATGCTTCAAAGGTCTTGGAAATGCTTATTGACTGTGGAGGGAGTGTTGAATCTCTAAGAAACGATATTAAAAGTAAGTGTTATATCTAACATCTATATTTATATGCTAAATTATAAATATAATTAAATTTTAAATACGGTTAAAAATTTATCATTTTTAAATGAACAGATCTGCACACAGATATCGATTTTCTGTACTTCACACTTCGCCGTTACGTTACGAAATTGCATAGTTTAGATATTCAAACGACTATCTTTGAAGTGAAAAATACTTCGGTTATCTTCAAAATTGTACTCAGTCAGCCATGTATTTCATCCTAAAAGGACATTCATATCAATTAAAAAGAATATGAGGTATTAGTATGAGCGCCATTTCATGTTTTGTAGTTTGGTTTAAACATCTTAACTAGAATTTAAATTCAATCAATTGTGTAATGGAACAAATGATGAATACAACTGTTTTGATTTAAGATATGAAGAACAAACTAGAACATCTTAGTAAACAGCAAGCCACGGACACATACACGAGATGGGGACGGTCTTCTTGTCCGCTTGGAGCAACGACTGTTTACGACGGATTTACGGCTGGGTTGCTTTACAGACATACAGGAGCAGCAACTAATCATATGTGTTTGTCTAAGAAACCAAAATATCACTATCATTCTAAAAAGCCGAGGTATACGACACTGATATATGGTGCTGAAGACGAAACACATGACAGTATTTGGGACAAATTGGTGAACCATGACATCCCATGTGTTGTTTGTCATGTTCCTCGTTCGAGCATTATCATGATTCCTGGACGGGATGATTGCCCAGGCAATTTTAAATTAGAATACTGGGGTTACTTGATGGCTGGTAGGTTTAATCATCAAGCAGGAACAGAATATTTATGCTTCGACGGTAATCCAATTGCCGCCGAATATTCAAGCCCAGTTAATCAAGATGGAGCTTTGTTTTACTTTGTTCAGGCAGTATGTGGTTCATTGAAATGTCGGCCTATGAATCGGGGACACAGATCACGTGCGCTGTATGCTCGTACTCTCCTTAAAAAAGCTTTAAAGGGACTCCACCGATGTTTTTTGACATGATGGGACTGAAAATATTTTTTCCAGATAAATGTACCATTTGATGAAGGTTTAGACGCAAAATTTTAGATGATTCGCACACTTCGTTTTTCCAGAATGATAATTTAAACTTTAAAAAATGACCCAAAATGAAAAGCGTTTAAACGCTTTACACTCAAATCGGGCTAAAAAAAGCGAAACAATACGATTTTCAATTTATTTATTCATAACTGTCTTTGCATGTATTTCTGTTTTAAGTGCCCAACCACATTTATGTAAGAAATTCAAATGTTATGTTTTTATGCTTTTAAACTTCAGTGGAGTCCCTTTAAAAAGTTACCTCTAAGGTGTTGGACTGGACTCGAACGAAAAATTGTGTGATTTATATTTCTGGATTGCAGCTTTTCTGACACTTTAATCATACTAAGAGCACAAAAGCAAACATACACTTATTGGATATGGTATAACGGTTTTAACACGCTAATAAAGATTAACCAAAGCATGCAAACAAAAATAACAAATATGTATTTATTTCTTGACAACTGAACAATGTCGTTGTAATATATCATATTCAACCAAACAAATACAATTATAGTGAAAATTCATAAACATAGTTTGTTTGTCACTTGTCCAATACTTGTGTTCTTATCTTGGCGGTCGGTCGAACTAACCGGCCTTATTTGATAACTTACCACTAATCATCAATTTCTCTGCATGTGGCCGGACACTAATTCCTTACGATTTCCATATCTCTGAGGCTCTGGTTTTTGCTATGACCAACCTCTATACCAAATATTGGTACTGAAGACACATGTTTTCTTCCTTTGCCACTTTAACCTTCCATCAACTGATTCAAAATATGTTGAGGACATATATGACAAACTCCTATACTAAATCTATATGCAGTAGACATAAACCTTCTCTAGTTTTTCGATGGACAAGGTCTTTGTGGACATGGTCATTTGGACCTTGACCTTTGACCAAATGATCTCAAAACCAGTATGGGTCACCGACTTGTCGGACAAGCTGTACTCATTTGACGGACATGCTAGATAATGGATACAAGGGATCGATCCTGTTTAAATTTTTTTGTTGGAAAGGCAGTGCCCTTTTCTATTGTTACGAAAAAATGACATTGTGTTTATTTTTATTCTATTTATTGTTATCTAGCCCTTTATTTCCTTTGCAATGGAAGGACTGGCACACCCCAGCTGTCCAATAAACCCCGAATTGAGACATAATTACTTCGATAAATTAGAGTACCGTATGCAGTGTTAACGCTCGTCTGTTAAATGTCAATAACAATCTTGACAAAAAAGTTATAAAGGGACATCATTCCAAAACTTAAGCTTACATAATAATGTTATCCTCCCTAACTTTAGCTAACAATTGTGCATTGTCATGATAAGCACGTATTCAAACTTAACTTGTTAATACCTATAAATTCAATGACAATAAGTAAATAATTTCATAATGTCCTTGTTATTTAGCTGACTACTTTCATATTAGCCTGAGACCAAAAGCCAATAGCATGAAAACATTCAATTATTGACACTTTAATTAATTAACTACACATAATCTAAAATATTTGAGTACTAAGTGAACAAGAAATAACTAATGTAAAATTCCGTTGTTGAAATGTATTGCAAAGGTCATTCTTTTTTTAAAAACGTTTCGGAAACCTTCTTTGCAGCATCTCAAAATTGCAACTTTATTCAATGAATCATAAAAGCCGAGCTGGAGGAGAGCATATAAAAATTCTCCAATTTCAATCTCATAATATCCGAGTTTTCTCATAAGAGCCGTACGTTTTGCATTATGGCCTTGTTTTATGTGCATAATGTCGAGGCGAACTTCATATTAACCTTACATTTGAAGTTAAACGTGCCTTATTTTGAAAAGTTTATTATAAATACTTATGTTTGAATAACAGGTTATTTTATTTTTTTTTCTAGGGACGAAGCAAAAAGTATTATATAAAATGATGATATAACCTTTTAGAGAACCATAAAAGTGATGCTAACATGCTAAATACAGAAAGTATTATTATAATAATATCTTAAGAAAGACTTTAAAGTCCTTTATGGATTTCTTTAGAAACTTGTTTTTGTCGTACACATTTGCATTTGGCTCGACTTGAATTGACAGCCAAAGCTAAGGATCATTAATGTGAGTTTTGATCAGAAGCCCACAAGAAGAATGAGACTAAGAGAAATACTGTTTGAAGAGAGTGTTGATTTCAAAATCGGACTATGATATACTTTAATCCGAAAGCTCACATCTGTGAGTTATTTCTGTAACTGATAAAGAAAGATTTAAAAAAGGAATACACTGTTGTTTTCAAAATAAATAAAATGTTATATTTCAAAATTTCCTGTTGAATCTGTTTAGAAAATACCAACCGTTTGTAGGCTTCGATAGACTAAAATAATAAGACAAGAAAAAATCCCTTCCATTAAAGGGAGTTCCTTTACGATAATAATTTAACGTTATGCAATATCGTTTTGATATTCATATAATTTAAAAGAAAATATGTTACTTAGAAATATAATTTTAAGATTAAAGTGTAGTGAGGTTTGCAAATTTATACTCAATTGATTAAATATCTAAATAAGTCCAATTTAATGAATAATTACATTTTAAATATTAATTTACTTTGATTCGGCTATATATAAATTGAAGATCTAACATATTTTCGTGGAATGGATGACTTTTTAAAAAGACTCAACAGTCAAAAAAATTTTACTGTTCTATAAAGATGTGCATATTTTTTTTACATTTTCCATGAGATTACTAATAATAGTGACATAGCTTTAAATTTGAAATATGATTTAAAATTGTGAATCATTGGTGTGGAGAGGAATATCATCTAAATGTATATGTATCTTGATGACATGCTTTTATGTCAATGTTACTCATCCATGTACATTGTATGTTGATTGGATTCTTATTTATACATTTTAGATTTACCCCTCTTATATGTATTGGTTGACATACAGAAATGCAAAATTTAAAATGTATGTATGCTTGTGTAAGGGAAAGTATTGAAGATTGTTAAGGTAGAAATTGTATCATTGTTCGTGCAAAATGACAAATTATTGTGTAAAAGTATTTAATATATGTTTTTTAATATCGTCAAATTATTAGCCGTTTATGTCTGTATATATACAAATGCATAATGAAAACTTTTTAGAACTATCCTTCACATTTAATTTTTAGTGACAAAACTATCCCATACATTTTATCTTAGAGCAATTCTTAAAATTTTATTTTAAAATGGCAAGAATTATCCTTTACATATTTTTAGAATGGTAAGAACTGTCCTTTACATTTTATTATAGAATAACCAATCTATTTCACCGATTTAAGTTAGTGATTATAAAATGATAAATGAAAATGCCTCTTATATTCAGTCCTTCCCTGTTAATTCTACAGGATGTCAAACCGATAACAGACGCACTTTGTTTGAAAAAGAAATAAACTATATTTGTGCCGATACATGTAATTAAAGGCACAATAATATATGTTTTATGCCTTAAGTTATGACCAGATTATATGATATACTTCTCATAATTAAAAAAACAATAACAAACTAGAAATGTGTCCATATGACACGGATGCCCCCAGACTATACTGTTTTGTCAATCTTATGAATCTAGGTCAAATATTTTTGGGGCTGCATGTGCCACAAGTTGACAACTAAAACAATTTACTAATTGAAGGACAAAAACTTTACCAATTCTAAATAGATCTACAAGCGAACCACAAGGTGCATAAGTACACGTGCTGACCAACATTCTTGTAAACTTTAGGCCAATAGGTCAATTTGTTTTGAGCTATGCATGAAAAGGTTAAAATTACAAATTTATATGAAGTCAAAGGCAATAACACTAACAAAACTGAAAAAAAATCACATTCAAAATCCCATATGCATAGCTTCACAGTGATGTTTATCATTATTCTTGTACAGTTGGTTGATTCTAACTCAAGCACACAAAAACAAAATAACACAACATAATGAAACGGTTTTGACTAAATCAAGGGCAATAACTCTACAAATACTGGATAAATCTACAAGTGAAATCCAAGGTGCACAACTTCACATGCTGCCAAACATTCCTCTTAAGTGTCATAACTCTATGTTAAATACAGTTGGAGCTACGCACGACACAAATTGAAAATTGAAAATTTTCCCTAAGTCAAGGGCAATAGCTCTGACAAAACATATAAATTCAAAATACAAAACACCAGGTGCACAATTACACATGCTGATCAATATTCCTGTCAAAAGTATCATGACTCTATGTGCGACACAAAATGAGAACGGACGGACGGACGAAGGACGGACAAATGGTCGGACGGACAGGGAAAAATCTAAATCTCCCTCCCCCCCCCTAAAGTGGGGACACACAAACTATGCGAACGGAAGCGAGCACAAACGAATGCATTTTCTTTTCTTTTTTTACAATTAACGATCAACCAAGTTGTAATAATAATATTACTATACATGTTTTGTAATGTTTTGTATAAAATCTACCTAGCAATTTGCTTTAACATCCCTTATCCTTTACATTTTAGTTTAACTATATTTTGGATTTGGACAACAAGTATAGTCAACCTTTATCAATTCCTTTCTATGATAGAATCTCGATTTTAGTTCACTTTCCTTTATATGAACAGTGCAAGTTTTCCTTATCATTTACTCCAAGGCATACGTATTCTATTTCTGTTGGAATATATTTAAATTCGTTGGTTATATTTTATAACGTGTGAATGATTTATAAAGATTTGAAGAAATTTAATAGGTCAGTTTCAGTGCCAAAATGATTTGAACGCACTTTCCTATACAAGTCTCTACGACATAGATGTTTATTCGCCCAGCCACGTCATTACTATGTGATAGTTTTTTCACTTTTTTGTCACATTTTCCTTTGATATACTTTTTCTAAATACTTTTGATAACCATATAAATAAAAAGTTGACATCCCCTAGGAAACATACAGCGTGATGCTATCTAAATATGTTTTCGTATGATATTATGGTAACTTACAATTTATTTCAAAAGTTTATTGTGATTGTATTGTAAAGGCTTATATCTAATTGTTAACAAAGTGCACAAAAACAGAGAGATTTTTTCACAAACAGGAAGAGGTAAAATTTCCCATTTGTTTAAATAGGGTTAAGATATTTTAAAGCAGTTGTGTTGCGTATTGCTTTACAAATGGTTTCAAACACATTTTAGAGAACTTTCGCTACAAACACTCAATCGGAACATTTGTATTCATAATCATCCAATGATTGACGGAATGGGCCGAAAAAAGCTACATGATTAACGACGCTGATATTGTTCTAATTTTGTAACTATATCTGCACAAAATCATTTCGAAATTTGAATGGCGTTCATCATATAATCATATCATAATAGCTTTCATTTGGTAAAAAACTTATGGTCTGACACGAAATCTATAAATTGTCGTAAAAACACAAAAGATTATACTAAAAGTAAATCGTTTGCGCTTTCGTCTTATTCTTGCAAAGTATTCGCAAGTTGAAGTGTAAATAATGTTGTGGTTAGCGATTTCATTGTTGACAATAAACACGGCACTAGCTACCGAAAACCAAAAACTTGAGAATACTGCAAAGATTCTGGAACTGCTTAATGACTTTAGAGGGAATGTTGCATCTCTAAGAAACGATCTTAAAAGTAAGTATTATACCCTTAAGCTATTTGATTAAATACATATTATTATAAATTAAAATAAATAATGTTCAACAAATGAAAGCTACACACATATATCGATTTATTGATTATACACATTATATTAATCAACGTCGTTACGCAATAAAATTGCGTAGATTAGATATTTAGCTGACTTTCTTTGAGAAGAGATTATTTTACAAAGCCAGGCATTTACTTCACCTGAACAGGACATTTAAATACTTATTAAAGAAAAATATGCGGCATTGCTTTGAGCGCTATTCTATGTGTTGCAGTTTTCTATTTTAAAATATCTAAAGTCTAATATGCGTATTCTTTGACGCACGTCGGTGACATTAATATATATTAAAGGTATTGTTATGAACGTCATTCTTCTTTTGTATTTTTGTTTGAAGATATTTCAAACTTCGACTGTATAATGATACAGATGATAAATTATCCAAATTTTTGAATTTCAGCTGTGAAGAACAAACTAGAACATCTTAGTAAACAGCACGCCACGGACACATACACGAGATGGGGACGGTCTTCTTGTCCTCCTGGAGCTACGACTGTTTACGACGGGTTTACTGCTGGGTCGCATTACACGCATTCTGGTGCAGCAGCTAATCATATGTGTTTGTCAAAGAAGCCAAAATATCACTCCCACTATAAAAAACCAAAGTGGACGACACTTATATATGGTGCCGAATACCAAACTCATGGCAGTATTTGGGACAAATTATCGAGACATGAAATCCCATGTGCTGTTTGTCATGTTCCTCGTACGAGCATTATAATGATTCCTGGAAGTGACGATTGCCCAGACAACTTCAAGATAGAATACAGGGGTTACTTGATGGCTGGATATCATACCCATAAGGGAGGAACCGAATACATATGCTTCGACGGTAATCCAACTGCTGCAGAATATTCAAGCCCATTGAATAACAGTGGGGCTTTGTTTTACTTTGTTGAAGCGGTATGTGGTTCATTGAAATGTCGGCCTTATGAATCGGGGAAACAGATCACTTGTGCTGTGTGCTCGTACTCTCCTTAAAACGCTTGAAGGAGCCACCACGGAGGACTTTTGACTGGGCCGGAAATATTTTATCGAGATATATGTATCATTAGCTGTAATTGTGGGCAAATAACCTTTCACTGTTATATATTAATTTTCTGATAATTCGGGATGTTTTTTCCTGACTATATATTTCAATTGTGACAAATGACCAAAGAAGGGAAAGCGTTTTAACGCTTCTAATTCAAATTGGGCAAAGAATTGCTGATAAATACGTTTTCCAATTCAATATTACTGCAATATCGTATGCATACCTCGCCGTTTTAACTGACGCCAGCCCCTTCCCATCCCCTCCGCCAGTTAATCTATGTAATAAAATTATATTTAAAGGGCTTTCTTTGGGGTGAACATCGGTGGAGTTCCTCTAGCAGAATTTAAAAAATAAACATTATAAATAACACGGTATGTGGTTAAACTAAGTGCAATTCTAAAGGACTTGGTTTATTTTGCTTTACGTCCACTTGCAACAATAACTATTGTTCATGATTAATGCATCTATACAGTCAAATTTCGAGTACGTCAATTAATGATCCTCTGCTTTAAAGGAATTTGTTGGTAATAGCTTAAAATATGTGTTACCTAAAACATAAATTAATGTCTACAGAATCTCTTTTGCTTCCTATTTAAAGAAAGCAAAGTTCGCCTCACTTGAAGTAAGGTATACACAGTTGCAAGAACTTAAAAGCCATTATTTGTAATTATGTCTGGCAATAAGAGCATGAAGGACGATGATTTATTTCTTGTTATCTTGTCTTTCTATTTGAATGCTTCTCGAACAGAAAATGTGTGATATGTATTTCTAGATGGTAACTGTTCTCACCTTTTCAACACAATAGTAAATATAGACTGATTGAATATAGCATTTAGGTTTAACATACGCTAATAAAAAAGAACCATGTGAACAAGTATTTATTTATTTCTTGATATAATTGGACAATAGCGTTTTGTTATATAGTTTTCAACCGCACAGATGCCGTCGAATCTTACAAAGTGCCACCAGATCAATGTATAATCCCGAATTCTTACAATCCTAAGGAAAGCAAAGTAAGAGGGAATTTGCTGATCCTTCGCAATACCTAACCCTGTTAAAGTTACAACAATTCGAGTGCTTGAATCTGAAATTTAAGGCTGTATTCCTCAAGATGCTACAGTAGGAGGGTTATGTTCAGTATGTCCTATTCCGTCTACATTATATACCCTTTCTGGAAGATCATCAAAGCTGTACTGTCGCTTCAATTCTTTGTAATAATAATCAATACACTGCATGGTTGTTGAATTTCCAAGATAGTTCTAGGCATCATTGAGCAAGGATATCCAGTTGCGGACATCTAGACTTAAAATGTTGATATCATCAACAATGTCAAAGAACAACAGCATATTTTGAGCGATATTTACATCTTCCTTCCTAAAATTAAAAGAAAACCCTTAGATTAAGATAACAAATGTATAGCTGAAAAATTAAATTATGACATAGAGGGATCACTTTGTTTCCAGATTTTATACTACACAACAGCAGGTGTCAAGTGTCCTGTGGCAGCTGATAAAAGTTGCCCCGTACTTCACTTAAGTGTTGTTATATTTTTCTGATCCTTCGGGATCATTGATGCCAGCACTTTTGAGTAATGATAATTGAGTACCGCTCAACCGGTGCTAGGAGGGTTGAGGGATGTTGCACGTATTCATTATCCCTCATTTACAGACTCAATAATACCGAATCTGCAATTTCCACGTAATTTTGTTGTTGGTCGTGCTTCCGAGGGATCACTTTGTTTCCAGATTTTTATAAAATAAAATAGATTCAATTGTAGCCACAAACATTATCAAAACACCAAACATGGTAAATATAACAATATTCTAGGTTTGATTTGAACATAATCAAGGACTGCAGTGGCAAATGCTATATTTGGCTTCAGATAAGCAAAATTTGGTTGTGTTTAAAACTTGAATAGACTGTTTAAACTCACACAAACACAATTTCTTCAAACATTATACATTGACATATGACACAAATCACTTAACTGGCGATTTTTAAAATAAAGCACCCATGTTCCTCAAAATATGAATAACATTCTTTCCTTTAAAACACACAAACACAGAACTGGGCAGTGTTAATAAAAGGAGCCCTTGTAAGCAGAACAGAGCAAACCTTTAGGATAATAATAAAAATGAAAAATATCATAACGCTATTTAATGCCATTTTGATATTCATATATACTACATGTACATATGTTACTTAGAATTAGAATTTAAAGAAATATGCAAATCAATGTTCAGGTTACTTCATTTATAAAGTCTCAATTACACCTTTGTGTATTTTAAATATATATCATAAAGGCCAAATATATTTTTACAAGGAATCACTTTAACTTGGCTCTACAATCTAAAATATTGCAGTTCTATAGATTTATTGACCTTTTTACGATACCTTTCTTTTCATAGTAACGAATGTTGCATTTCGTACATACACGATCAAAACCGTAGCCACTAGAGTGTTAACAATATTTTTCTATTTTTAGCTCCTGTGACCTAGTTTTTTTTAATCAGAGATAACCCATGTTCAAACCCATATAAGCTTACATAGACAAGCATCCTGATCAAGTTTGATGACAATTGAGTCATAAATGTGACTTCTAGAGTGTTATTAAGGTTTTCCATATTTGGCGGTGTGACCTAGTTTTTGACCCCATGTGACCCTTATTCGAACCTGACCTAGAAATCATTAAAACAGTCTTTCAGCCCAACTCCCAAGGTATTTTGATCAAAACAATAGCCACTAGACCACTAGATTGCTAACAAGATTCTTTTAATTTTTAGCTCCTGTGACCTAGTGTTTTACTAGAGATAACCTATATTCGAACTTATTCGAGCAATTACCTTGTGAAACGTCCAGACCATGTTTGAGGACAATTGAGTAAAAATGTGACCACTAGAGTGTTGACAAAGTTTTTATATTTTTAGCGACTGTGACCTAGTTTGTTTTAATCCGAGATGACCCATGTTTGAAGGCATCCGAGCAATTACCTAGACAAGCATCCTGACCAAGTTTGATGAGAATTGAGTAAAACAATGTGACCACTACAGTGTTTACAAGGTTTTACTTGTTTCAGCTCCTGCGACCAAGTTATTTATGGGACAAGGAAGAGGTTTCGTTCGTACAGACTTGGTATGTACTTTGCTAGGCAATATGCTATATGGGTTGCAAAACTGAAGATCAATACAGAAATCAGTTTGTGAAACACTTTTTATTATCTACAGTATACAATACTGATATAGTAAAATGCTTTAAATTGCCTTATATAAAATTGTCTTTCTTAATGATCCTGTATGTTTTGTGATTGATATTGTAACTGTGTGTATACCACACTTGCAAAAAAATATATGTATATAAATATGCAAACAAAACAATTTTCAAACATTGAAAACTATGTAAAATGTGCACCGCAGATATTTATGCACATTATATTTAATCATTAAATTACATGCATTGATTTGTTATCGGGAAATTTTACTGAGAATTTATAGAAAATTTATTTCTAATTACCTCCCTTTATTTACATGGAATTTTAAATTGGGTAATATCTTTATAAATAATGCTGGTTGGAACTTATAATATTGACAAATCTTAATTTGAGCATCATATTTAGAACCATGGAATAATTGCGTGACAGGATCTTTAAGGGAACATCTTTTTAAATATTTATCAGGAGAAGTCAATTTTAAATATTGTGTTATTTAACTACAAAATGCATGTTAGTAAAACTATAACCATAAGGAGCATTACTACAATATAACTGCAAAATGTAATTGAATCAAAATGACAAATAAATATCCTTCACTCCAAAACACTATCTGCTTATTAAAAAAGTTAAAAATAATGCAAATTATCTTATTGAGAGAACCTTGTTCAAAGACAAATTTGAGAGAGAAAAAAAACTGACCATGAACGAGAGTAATTGAAATTTAGCCGAATCTGTCAGCAGACGTTTGAAACTAAAACAAAAATAATTGATCATTTCTTACCGATTCTGTAATTGTAGTTTCATGCACAACATAAATAATGGTATATCCATTTCGTTAAAAGTAGAAACTTTTAACTAGTTTGATCGTACATAAAATATGTTCACGCTTGATTATCATTATAATCAAATTAAAACTATTTTCCTGCTTTTCAGAAGATTTGTTATGTACATATTAAAGTTCTTTCTTTCACATTTAACGTTTTTGATTAGTTAACTTCTGATATCGAACGATCACGCTCTCAAAACAAGCAAACAGTGCATGTTATTTCCTTTCCCTCTTTATACGGTGGGCATTTTAATGATCCGCACTTTGCATACACAAAATATATTAATTTGCCATAATGGTGTACACTTATATCAGAAAATGCTTCCGGTCGATCATGAACACAGACAAATTCCGTGGCGGACGAAGGCAAATCGTGACCTGACATTAGATATACGCTGTACTACAAAGTATGTTTTTCATGATAAAAGACAAACATTTCATCCGGGAATCATGACAATATTGCTGCTAGGTACTTAACAAACGACACATGGAACATCGTGTTAATTAATCTTCGCCCATGTTATGCCACCAGTCTTATACACGGCCCAATACATTAGATTCGTTTGTGATTAATATATATTTGTATCGTTCCATGTTGGTTGTTTGTGCAGGCAAACATAATTTGTCGCGTCACCCTTTACGATATGAGCAGAGCCTCCAGCAAAACCATCGTAAATCAATGTTGGACAAGTAAAACTTCCCCATCTAGTAAACGTGTCTCCTAAATTTTAAGAGATACCTTTTCAGATAAATTAAAAATTTTAATCAGTTCATAAACAGTGGAATCGCAAGTACTCATGTAACTGAGTTAACTGTCTCGGATGGATCCATGTTTTAATTACCCTTAATGTTAATGATTTAAAGTAGGCGGCTTTATTACTTAATGCTGCTTTCCTTCGTATCCATGACATTTATTATGATACACACACCAGTTAAACAAGAATAAATGTACATGTATGTGTATAATGTGATACAACTAAATGCCGCCTATATTGAAATCATTTGAATGCATAATTAAAGATAGAAAATAAGTCATAATTCACAAATAAGTTTTCGAAAATATGCAATCGCAAAGAATTGATTACTGTAACAGATAAATAAAATCACTTCTGCTATTATATACAGTACGAGTGCCTTCTTTCACAAGCTTAGTTTCCTGAAAATGTTCAAGTTTCTTTTCTACTACGGACAGACTATGCATAGCCTTGAAAACATATTCGAATTTATAGTAGCATGTTTCATGATCAGTCCTAGCGAAAGAAAATCCAAATGGATAGAACAAATGTGAGAATATTAATTTCCTTCAGTAACAATACTTTCTCTTTGCCACAAACGAAATTCTAAATGTTTTTATTGTATTTCTGTTGTGTACTGAGCTTGTAAACATAAATTTTAGTAAAGGGTGAATGGCAAATATTTGTTATCTGGGTGTAAATTGTGTAAATTAAAGGATGAATGCCAAATATCCAGTATTTTAGCATGCTAAACTTTTAACTTGCATTGAAAATATATATAAACGGATCAAATTAATTGAGTATATTTTCCTGATTAAAAGAGGGTTTTATTATCTGAACCATGTGTCTGAATATCTTATACATGTTCCAATAAAATCACATCACGATTTAAAAATAAAGTTATCAAATAAGTGTTTATTTTTACTCATTCTTTATATATAAGTGTTAAAAAACAGTACTTGCTCTGTCATGTCTGTGTTTATAAATTTAATAATACGTTTGATATTATCAGATATTTATATTTATATAATACCTTATAATCTGTGTCATGACAAGTGTTGGACCGCCTCCGTGGTCGAGGGGTAAGAGTCGATGACTTCTAACCC